GCCTGTGTCTGTGTGTGTTTTGAGGAGTCTTTTGTGCAAAATGAAAGGGAAGGAGGGGGGGGGGGGGTGAAGAGACCTTATGTAATGTGAATAGCAAACTGAAGCCAACTACTTTACTACACTCCCTTCAATCACGGCTGAGTACTCAGGATTTTTATCAGGTTTTATCAACCTTTGTTGTTGCAATGCAGCACCAGAGTTCTGTTGAGGCGAGATGATGGACTGTGACTTCTTATACGACGTTTTTTTTTATGAAATACAATAATACAACTTATTAGATAGCATTTTTTATGACATACTATACAATTACTGATTATGACGTTTTGGTGACGTACTATACTTTTGAATCGACATAAACTATGATTTTGTTTTACATGACATTTGTTTAAGAAGACTCGCATCTTGAAGATCTGTGAATTTGTGATTTTTCAATACTGAAATAACTAAAAACAATGATCGACAAATTCAAAAACAATGAAAGTAATTGTTTGTTGCAACCCTAGCTTGATATCGCAACTGGCTGACCCCCACACCACACACACACACACGTAAACAAACAGACACACACCATGACAGCATCCCAAAGGGATTGGCAGCCGCACAATCAATGACAAACATCTTTAACTTTGAAGCAGCCTTATCGCCTCAGGACCTTGAGTCACTGCAGGTTGAAAAAGAGGATTGCTGGATGTCTTATTAAAGTCCTACAGTAAGCTGCATGTAATCATTGTGTGAATGTGTTTGTAATCAGTTGGACTCCAGCTGATATGACAACTATAATCCAGGCTAGCTAGTTAAAAACAAGGCTGTGATCTGATCAGATAGAGCAGCTTTTAGCTGGAAGCTTGAAGGCCGTGAAGTGAGCCAACTCTCTGCAGTCGCTGATTATTGTTCCCCCACAACACATACAACACATACAGCCGTAGCACGGGTGTCTTAAGCAGGATTTATCATTCTGCGGGACTGGGTCAAAGCTTCTCAAAAAGTAACGCCACAACTACAATACGTTTGCACTCCGACATCACCGTTTATCTAGAAGCAACTTCTCAGGTGATTTCGATGACATTACCTTCTTCAGGCAGAAGGATTGTTTGTTTTCCTCAGGGTTTGAGATACTGAGCCCTCTTACAGGAATACTTCCTAAGTGCGGGTGGCCCCAGCCTCTAAAGCCGCTCAACCAGGCAGCGCTACACAACCACGGATGGGCTTTGATATGAAACACACATCTGCTTTACATATTACGACTGACACCAAAGCACAAAGAGCAGAGTTAAGCTTTCATCACGGAGACTGGCTCCATCTGATGTGCAATTAGTGGACCACACAGAGCGACGTGGTTTATGGCTGCTGGATACAGCAGTGACTGTGTGTGCTGCTGGTTGAGAAGAAGACAAAGAAGAAATCCATTTTAACTACGTTTCTGTTTCCTTCTTGTGATTTGTAGTTCATGTGGGTTTTTACAAGGCTGAGGAGACTTCGTGGATTGTGACCCCACTGCTCACGGGACAGATGCGGCATCTTTTCAGACATGGAAACGTGACCTCGACGCCTCCTTCTGTTTGTTAAAGTGAGGGCTTTTTTTGGGCTACGTTAGCCCTGGAGAAACTCGTTTGTCTTTTTACAGTGAATGTCCCGATACATTTTCCCTTCAACATCATCCTTTGGAGAATTTTACTGCTTATTTTATAAAGTCAGTGACAAGCACTGAATGACTAGATTTTTAGTTGACAAGACATGAAATTCACATTTGTTTTCATTCAGTTGCCATGAATGAAATAGAGAATATACTGTAAGGAGGTAGTGTTGTACTTTGTCTTTTGAGCAGCACTGCAAAGGTAAAACATAACTGTAACAAACCGCTGACATGACAAGAATCTCCTCAACAACTTCAAATTTGGCTATTTTTTTCCATGATAATAATTCCTCAGATGAAGAAAACAACACGAACATTTAATCTCACCTGCTACCACAGTTATTATGTGGTAGCATTCAATGCAGATCTTACCAGGTCTGAAGTAGTGACACTGCCTTTGTGACTTCTAAATCAAAATGGTCCGTCACATTTACGGTACATTATGAGCACCGTGTCTGAAAATAGCTTTAATCAGCGCTGCAGTGAACACGGAGTCACTGTGTTTGGAGCAAGTCCAGAAACCGTTGATTCTTAATATCACAAATTGAAGTTTTGGCAGATAGCTCTTCTTCTTCATATGCAGTATTAATAAATGTGTCTCAAGAGACACAAGAAATAATGCCTGCAAATCATAATTAAAAAATGAGGGATCTTAGAAAACCACCATCTGAACCTTCAAAAGCCCAAACTGTTTGAACTTGTTCTCTCTAGTCTAGGAGTTACACCTGATGAATATCAGCATGTTTGAACATCAGCACTGGGCATCTTCACAAGTGGTTTCAAGCTATGGAAATTCTTGTTTCCTCTAACAAATGATCTTACATCTGTTAGCCGGGGGGGGGGTGCATTTAATGATTAATGTTAATGGGGAGGTACGTCCCCTTTCATCCCTCATAAGCCCCCCTGAGGGCAGGTTTCACACCCAGAAGAGGGAAGAAGCTTCAACAAAGCTACAATCAAAGAGAGATGAACTTGTTCGGAAGTCAATATCTGAGGTGGATACACTAGTTTAGAGGTGTTCTGTGCTCAGAGCAGTTTGGTGGTTGCAAAACCCTTTTACACTTCAGATCTCATCTCCCTTCACATGACCATACAAGTCAAGAGAAAAGATTGGTTTCTTTCTACATCTATCTTTTCCCTCACAGCCTCCTTTGTTTTTCCTCTCGTCTCTTTTTCGTTCTTTCCCTCTGCCCTGTCTGACTACAATCCACTCACCGTGGACACTACGTAGGAAACACACGGAACTGGAAATTATACCTAAACAAGAAAAACAGTAGCAGGTATGTGTGTTGACCAAATAACGCTGAAATTACAACCACTCATCCCCATCGGTACACCACATACACACACCCACAGACACACACAACACACACACACATACACACACACTGTGGATTCAGTTCACATAATGTAGTTTGGGTGTAGCCCCTCTGAGGATTCATTTTTTCGGTATGGAGGAGCATTCATTGAACGGCATCACTTTGACGTACAAAAGACGTGATAAGTTCTACAATCGCCTGAGTGACGACTGAGGGAACAGCCTTCATCTGGTTTAGCTGGCACCTGAGCCTTTACCGGGGAAAGGGAAGAAAGAAAAAAATTTGGACTCGATTCAAACCATGAAAATAAGGAAGATGAAAAAGCGAGAGATTGAGTTTCAGGAGCCCCTTCATGTTCATGGAGGTTTTCCTTTTCTGTGTCCTCCACTGAGGCACCACCCTTCTAAAGTGAGCACTTTTAATTAGTTCCTCTTATCTGATACCAGCTTTGTGACCAAATACCTGCAAATCCAGTAACATTCAGCTGTATTTTGCTAGTTTTATTATGCTAGCTGGATTATGCTAGTTAGCATATCTGAGGATGCTAACAAGCTAAACTAAGATGGCACACATGATACCTTCTGAAAATCGAACATGCTAGCATTATCACTGTTAGCATGTTAGCGTGCTGATGTTAGCTCAAAGCACAGCTGAGCTGAGCTTAAGTACGGCCTTAAAGTGTTGCTAGCATGGCCGTAGTCTCTTAATCTCGTTTGACTGTACTTGTAGGCTACAGCGCAACACATACCGGACATTTATACGATGGTGTTCTGCTTATTACCGAGAATAACTGTCAAGTTATTAGAAGGCAGCAGGAGTGAGCTGCCCCAGATACAACCCATCACACAACACCCTGTCCAGCTGAAGCAGGCCCTGTCACCAGGATTGAAGTGCTGCATGTTATCTAGGTACACATGAGGCTCGTCAAGAGTTTCTGTATGTGGCTCCACAAAACAGCAGATCTCAGTGGTCCATTTCTATCTCAGTAAGGGTGCAAACATTAGCTGTGTTGGGCCTCCAGGCTCAGCATATTTACTAATTTATATAATGTCTTTGGCATCCTCCATGTGCGCCGGTACTGTCATCTCTACTGAGCTCTTAAAAATATTACATCATGTGTGAGATGGATCTCTGGTTGTTAGTAATATGTAGATTCTTCTGAAGTGCACGGAGGCTGTGCAGTAGTCTATTAGTAACTAAAGAAGAGGATATACTGTGAATTTGTATCCAATAGGCATCCATGTGTGTGTGAAGGTTTTAATGCTGCCGTTAGCACATTAAAACTGACACTTATCTTAAGCCAATATCTGCATCAGGCTGTTAAAATAAGATTTACATGGTCATAACGTTTTGGGTCATGAGAGAACAGTCATTTTGTTTTTGTGGGTTGTACAACAGGCTGGCAACAAGTCTTATTAAAAGTCCTTAATTATTCAGTAGCCTTCCATTGCTGATCTATTATGGTTCCTGCACAAATTACAGGAAAACTTTGCAAGAAAATGTAATTGGTTAAATAAATATCCAGACTTTATCTTGGTCTGGGAAGGCAGTGTGTCATGTTCCTGTAAAAAGATCAACTAGGATTAAGAGTGTTAAACCCCATTATGTCTTCCAGTAACACACTTAAATGATAACACACACACACGTACACAGATGCTGATGAGTGCATGTGCATACCCACTCTCAGCAGAGAAAATGACCTCATGCGGCCCAACGTAACTGCTGCTGTAGCACGCTGCATTCCCAACTACATTCCTGAATTCCCCTCAGACATTCCTGCACAATGTGGCGGGAATATGCAGTGTGGTGGTTTCACTGGCGGAGAGGCGGTTTAAAGTGGAGAGAAAAAGGTAAAAAGGTCAAATCGCTTACAAAGTCAGGAAAACAACAGAGGCCAGAATCTCTGTGTCTCACACTTCCGAGTGCCTCGTAGTGAAGGTGAGAGAGAAACAGACTGGCACACAGCAAGAGAGACAGCGAGAGAATGAAACACTAAAACTAATCATTTGGCCCCTGTGTGGAGGCATCCACATGTATTGTTTCTTCACTCTCTCTCCCTTTAATTTGTCACTTGTCCGTCTTTGTGTTGCAAAAATAAGCACGGAGCATTCGTGTATTTAGGGTTTCAAAATGATCTCTAAAAGCATGTCGCCATGTGACAGCTGGATGCTATGGGTCATATTTTAGTTGCATAAGTACAACGGGGAAGGTTTGCCATATATTCACACTTGTACTGTGCAGGCACTTGACTTAGTTTCTTACATTTAGCCACATCCAGTCTGCCTGAGGTTGGGCGGGGTTGATGTAAATTGAGCTTTTTTTTTTTTTTGAAAATGAAGTTGTAAATGTGTCTTGCTCATAACTCATAACAATGAACACAAGCCTTTAATCCCAAATAAATCAGGCGGTAGAATAGGCAGATTAAAATAGCAGATGCTAATCTTATGTGTGAGATGTGTAGTTCACTGCAGTAAAGGGAAGGGCACGGTACAGTGAAATACAAATAGGATCAAATTAAAATAAGAAGACGTCAAGATGCAAAACTACTCTACCAGAGCACACGAATGGTGGATCAACCAGCTTTATTGCAACCCTTTGCAATAAGTGTTGCATGTGGGAGTTTATGTTATGTTATGTAATCCTAACATAAACACTGCTCTTTAGAGATGGAGTCCACAATAGAGCACGACCAAACTGATGCAACTTCATTTGATTCAATGCAATTTCTTCCAGAAGCAGATCAGGGGCGATGGGCTTTCATAAATCACGAGCACTTTTTTTCCCTTTGTGGAAATCCCACTAAAGACATCAATTTGACTTTTCCTTACTGTTTTTGATGACTACCACAACTTGTGGTTTATTTCATCCAACTTTTTCATCCACGATATGACTAATCTGTCAAATATTCCCATTGGGAGAAGGGCCCTCATGTGCTCTGTTTGCTGCTTTTTCAGGCCTTTATTTTCTACTCATTGCCACTTCAGGCTATCCGAAGCCATCCAATAGTAAAAACATGCTACTAAAGGACTCTAAAGCTTCTAATGCCTTGTTTAATAAAGTAATGTCTCCAGGCAGCATATACAATTCCACACAATAAGCAGAGCTTTGGCTAATATTGCTTGGCAGTAAAAACACTCGTTTGATAAAGTAGTTCCAGATGCGTCAGTGAATACAAGATGTTGGGACTGTGTGAGATCCAGATTCAAAGCTCTACTTTTGTCCGATTTGGAAATTGAGGTCGTCACCTAAAACAGATTACAGCACTTGAGATTGTTTAAGTCTAAACATCCCACACGCAAAAAACTATTTCCACCAACACACACAGATTTTAGATTCTTGACAGTCAGTCTGGGGCGCATGTATTGTCAAGCAACAATTTGAAATTTAAGGAAATACTCCGTCGTTCTTGGTCCAATCAGCCGCCCAAAACATAACCACTATACGATTGGTTCAACAATCGTAATGAGTGGCCTCGCTGAAGAGCAGTGTCTATATTTTCTCTGCAGTCAAACTACTATACAAGTGATCCTGTGGAGCCTAAAATTGCATTTTATGTTCTTATTCCTGCCAAAAAACATTGTAATCTGAGTTGGACAACTCAAGGCCTGAATAACTCAAACCTCTACGTAACATAGCCGTAAAGTTTAGCTTCTTTTTCAAATCTAAACCTTTTCGACATCGAATGTCTCCCTCGTACTACAGTATATCTGGACTGAGATCACACAGATTAAGGTAGCTTTTTTCCCCCCTCCTGTTGAATTATGATTTTCTCCTCTTCCATTTCCTGCAGCGATCCGCTGCGTTCTCTCTCGTGTCCTCTTTGTTCCAGGCCTACGGCTCTCAGGGGTTGGATTAGTCCATGCGTTTGTGCGGATGTGTATGTGTGTATGTGTGTGCGAGTGTGCATGAGGACACATTGTATTCACTGAGACCGGAAAAGGAAGAGGAGATGGGTGGAAACAGGAAGAGGAGGGTCACCAACTAACTAACCTGCAGTCTCAGCAGCACATGTCCTGTCCTCTGGGTTTGACACCAAACTGACCAACTAGACCCACACCCAAGAAGAAGAAAGTTACAGAAATTTCTGAACACATCCTCCTCTAATCTCATGTGGGAAAGGAGTCGGGGGAAGTTTCCGAAGAATCCCTTGAAGGGATAAACCAACAGAAAGATATATTTAAAGGTTTAGTGTGTAGAATCTGGAGGCATCTAGAGTTGCAGATTGCAACAAACTGATACTTCTCCCGTGAGCCAAGCAAGTAGAAGTACAGCAGCCGACACGAAAACGCAAAAAAGCGAACGGCCCGATCTTGACACAGTGTTTGGTTTGTCCATTCAGGGCTACTGTAGAAACGTGCAAGACATGCGTAGAGGAGAGGCGTCATAGGGAAAGTGAAGGATAACATGGGTGGGAGTGAAGGTGGTTTGACGAAAGAGGAAAGAGCCGGTTTGGAGGAGCCCTGGTGGGAACAGAGTTAGTGTGTAGGTCCCAGCTGAGGTCACGTCCCCCGGCTGCGTTTTCATAAACTCCCGAGTCTCAGGGTAATCAAACAAAGCACCGGCACTCGACCCAGATAGCAAACCTTGCAATCAAACCTCATAACAGAGACACACCAAACCAGGAAGTGATGCGTCATCCTCCCGTCTTTTCTCATTCACATTTCATAATAAAGGACGCTCGTCATATACTTTCAGGGAACTTTACTCTAGGACTCTGCTACCACCACCACCTCCCCGTTCTCCCTCTCAGAGTCATAAAGGCCAGCTACAACAACAAACAGAGTCTCTCTCGGCTGGGTGTGGTGGCCTGCAGAGCAACAGCTGGGTCCTGTTGTTTCTCCTGAGACCCAGACTGACTGCTCACCCTCTTTTTCAGGACAGCTCTCCCTCCGTATCCTTAGCTTGTTCTTAAATGTTAAAACTTTTTTGTTTTTGCTCACTCAGCATTGCTGTCATTTCTAGGTACTCTTATCTGAACTCTTCACGGATTATATTAGAATGAATCCCTCGTATTTCAGGCATTGCTCTTAAACTGTCTTACATCAACACTCTTCTTCTCTCTCAAAGGTTTGGATTCTCTCGTTCTGCTTTTCTGTTTAATCTCTCACTTAATCTGTCAGTCCCCATCCTCCCTCTTCCTCTCTCCCGCTGTGGCCCCTATTTCCCTCTGACACATTTCCTGTATGCTAGAGAAGGTCATCAACACATTTTCAGTCATACGTCACACGAGTCATAAAAGTGTTTCATAACACAAAATAAAGTTTCTCATTCTTAAAACACAAAATTATCAAAATGCTGAAACATAGTGCAGACATGCAGCTTTGAATCCTTTTTTCAAATAACACAAGAATGAAGGAATGATGGAAAATGTTTTCAATCATCTTCTCTTGTTTATGACGATAATTCGCATCACAATTGCTGTAAAGGTTAAAATAAAGGTTCTTAACAGTGTGACGCCTCCATTTAGTTCAGTTCCCTCTGGAGAGGCATTACACTGTGTGTGTGTGTGTGTGTGTGTGTGTGTGTGCGCAACCAGTATAAACTCTACCTAATGAACTGTTTTGAGCGTGCAACTAACCAAATGGCAATAACAGATCAACTTCAGAGGCTGTGTGTGTGTGTGTGTGTGTGTGTGTGTGTGTGTGTTGCCAGTTCAGACCTGCCCTAGGTTTAATTAACTGTGAGTCAAAGCCAACTCACGTGTGGTCAGAAGAGCAATCAAACACTAGTCGGGCCACATGAGCACACATAAAACACATGCACGCACGTAGGCATGCATGCACACACACACATACAAACACACACACGCATACACTCGCACACATGTAAAGAAACCTTCAGGGGAATAAACATGAAATTAAAACAGTTTCCCGCTTTGTTTTTTTCCTGTTGTTTTAGAAGACCTCAGTTCGAATCAGGACAACTTACAAATCATATTAAAATGAATCAACAATCTTCATGAAGCAACAAGCCCTGACACGCACACACACACACACACACACACAGATCAAGACAGTAAAGTGCCTAGTAAACCACAGTGGAGGCAATCTTTTGATCTGATGCTAAGAGCACCAGGCAGTCACAGTCTTTCATTATAAAGACGTCTTCACTCTGAGAATCAATCACTCACAACAACTTCTTTATTTACAAAACAAAGCAAACTTTTTTTTAACACATGAACATTAAAACTGTGACGGATCATTTTTGACAATCGAATTCTTGATCGAATAAACCAAAAATGTTTTCAAAGCACACAGTCATCAGCTTTTGGACTTGGGAGCCATGACGCTCATGTGGCTACACACAGATGTTTGTGAATAGTCAATAATAATAACATGTTTTGTTTTAGCTTAATTTAAATGAGTCACTACAGTGATTCAGTTTTTAAATTAAAATTAGGCCAGAGGAAATGATGCCAGTCACAAACGTTTGTTCAAGAACAAAAGTGTAGTTAATCAGAATAATGGGGGCACAGACACACACACACACACACACACACACACACACACACACACACACGTGTGTGCGTACATGTACAGATATTATTTCTGTTTGCGTGTCTGTGTGAGTAATTATCTGAACCAGAGGCTTGATACTATCACCGTCTTCCATGTGCTGGACAGAACAGCATCAGGGGAAAAAGATAAGAACCGGCATTGTGGCCAGATGTACATAAATGTGTGAGAGTGTGAGTGTGTGAGTGTGTGTGTGTATTTCCTTTTCAGGCCAGAGAGCTCCAGGGCAGATTACCTGCGACTAGCCAGGAAGGCTAGAATCAGGATTTACAAGAATCAGACATGCGCATGCATGCACGCACTGACACACCCACACACCCACACACMCACACCCACACACACACACACACACACACACACACACACACACACACACATCTCAGTCTTTGATGCAGCTGGAGAATGTTTCTGGATCAAAGAACCAGAATCAGAGGAATAAACAGCCCTGCACTCAGACAAGAATCATATAAATACTTACTTATTTTGCATATTTAGATGCTTGTGTTTATTTATCCATTATTAAAAGGAAAGGCATTTTAAGATGAAGTAGCTGCGATAGATTGTCTTAAACAGTCACAACTAGTGAAGAGTGAGGTACCATTGTGTTACTTTATATTTAGGCTGCTGAGTGGGGTCCTCGGCCATCACTTACTGCATGTGCTCAGCTGACTTACATAAAACAAGTGAATGTTAGTTTGCATTAGTTTGGAGGCAACAATAGAGCATTAACAGGACACGGTCCTGAGATTTCAATTTAATGACTCATCAACTCCCCAACTGTACAGAGGGATGCAGGCGCCACATTTAAGCTCCACAATGAAGTCAGGCAGGTAAACATGCTTCAAATTCAGCATTGGTCTCTTTGAACTATCTTAACTAACTTTTTTTCAGTCATTAAATTGTATCCTAGAGGATTAAATTCCACCCTATGTGTAATGGACAATTTCATGTGTGCAAGTGCACATTTCAGGTCGACTACTTTGAAACATGAACACTGTATTTCTAACATTTTACCCGTTTTATTTGTATTATTTATTGAGATAAATAATAAAATGATTGTCAGCTTGTTGCAAAAACGGTTGTCTGGTGTTTCGGAACCTGATTAGCCTTAAAAAAGTGATCCGTTTCTGAAACTGGGCTCCCTGGATCACACTTCATTCCTGTAAACACCTTTCCCTCAACAACATGCATTTTTGTTTTGTTTTGGCTGAACACCCAGTAAGTCATGAGAAACAGGTAGCTATAGGCAAACAACAACAAAATAGGATTTTTGTCTTATTCTCCCCGTTTCCAAAAGAGTGAATGATTTTGTTGTTTTCTGCACTTCAAAGCCAAGCTAAGAACAAGAAATGGTGACAACAGAAAACAACATCCATGGGCTCTCACTATCAGATAAATGTTTACTGAGAAAATCTGGGATATTAGTGAGTCTTTGAAAGGGGCTGTTTTTGTTAACAAGGTAAACGTGACCCTGTGTGAAGGCCTAATTGAAACGAGACAAACATATTATTTTTCAAAATAGAGGTGGCGATGTGGCAATGTTTATCTGTTGATCTCATATATCATAATGCCCATGTTAAAGAACAGTAGCAAAACATTCCGTATGATGTGTGAGTGAGTGCGTGAGTGAGTGAGTGAGTGAGTGAGTGAGTGAAAGCCCACTTTAAAAGTGCAAAGCCGATACAGATACAGAAATAGTCGTTAAAAGCTACCGAAGAGGAAGAAGAGTAGCAGCTAAACAGGGACGACTAGACTACTACTCTGTCTGTTCGTCTGTCTGTCCGTCCATGCACACAGCCAGCTGCCAGGCCAGAAGAAGGCATCACTGTGGACCGACTGGCGCCGGGGAGGAGCGACCCCTTATAGGAGCAGGGCCGCTCTAAGTTTTCCCACATAGTGAAGGAAAAGTTGGCTTTATGGGTCCTATTTATGACTTGTGAAAATAACTCTCCTAAGATTAATGATTGTTAATTCTGAATGGGCCCCTTTGGGCTCAAGAAGCGAGACAGCTGTCCTGGGTGCCATGCATCCACTTTGCCCCCCACCTACAGTCCACCTCCTCACCGGCTCCAGCCCTGTGTACGAGTGTAGTATTAATATACAGCCCACCAAAGCAGTATCCCTCAGCAGTGGAGTAATGTGCAGGCCAAAGAGGTTCACATCTTATCACCTGCTATATTTCACACTATACCCTCTTCATCTATATAATCTACGTTACATACCATATGGAAAAGTATTAAATATAACAGCCCAAAAGAGAGTTACACATAGTTTTTGGCTTCTTATGGTGACAAAATTACTAAGAACTGTATATTTAATAGGAGTTATTTTTTAATATGTTCTGTATGTATCCTGGGTATTTATATTTGACTGGTATTCTGCTTGAGATAGCACCTTCTCATAAGGGGAACACTGAGCAGCTATGCTCAACTCATATTACCTCAGCTGCAGAAACAGAAAGGAGGGGGGGGGGGGGGGGGGTATTAAAGGAATGATGACATAGCTGACCCACCTGACCAAAGTGCTGGATGCAAATGTGCCCTGACACAGGATGTGTGTTATTTAACAGACTATCATTCCCCACCATAATCCAGAAGCTATTTAAACTATATGGGATTCTTATATGACAGTGAACAGATGCAATAAAGTTTGTGTACATGTAGTTTGGGTGGACACTCTGATGCTGGACTGCACAAAAGAAAGTTACTGTTCATGAAAAATGATAGCATCTACTATGACTACCAATATGCACTGTGTAGTAAATACAGAATCGGATACATATTTCACAGAAAATGTCTCCAAAACCATAATTTGTAACCTGGGAGGGCACCATGAGAGGGTAGTTAAACGCAGTGGACTCAAGAGTCAGGACAGTTGTCAGGTAAATAATTATTCATCAATACAACAGGAATCTTCAGTACCAAATATACTCACATCCGTAAGGGAGAAAAAGGTTAGAAAGGTGAGCAAGCAAGATTAAAAGTCAAGCCACAGACTGACTTAAAGCTTCTGAATTTATCCCGTAAAGAACTGTGGAGATTTAGACCAACTATAGCACTGAACATGTGTGTGCATGTGTGAGAGAGACAGCACTCCAGAAGGAGAGAGAGAGAGAGAGAGAGAGACTCTGTACAGAGAGGAAGCATAGGAGGTGTGATGGGTGTTTACATAGCTGACATACATCCCTAAAATTAGACTACACATTTATAATTAGCAGTGCAATAGATGTCAGGCAGGCATAGCTGGCATACATATGGGACATTAATACACACATGATTAGTACCAGAGATACATGATGACACTGGCATAAGTGTGTGTTTGTGTACTTTACGTTTGTCATTAATAGGGATACCAGAAATGTAGTGGTCAATACCAATACTAGTGAAACTCCACAAGTCTCCATACCCATTAGATACCGAGGTAAGAAAACTAAACAGAAGAATAAATCCATGTATGTCAACATACACCCCTTTATTATCGTTTGCATACTGTTTTTATGTGAATTCAATTTATCATTAATCTCTGATGATCAGCCTCATATTCCTCGCCTAAAGACAAGATTACATTTGAACACATCATTATAATGTCATAATGTACCTTCGCCTTGTACTCATTTTTACTGAATGGAGCTTGAACACATCATAATGTAACTAAATGAAACATTCGTTTCCAAGGGGACATTATATTTATTGTTTTATCAAAGCAATCGTAGATATTCATGTATTCATTTAATTGATATAACACAGAGAAACGCATGGAGTCCTAATATTGACTTTGAAACATGAACATTTTGCCTTTATAAGTGGCCTGAATAAATAAAAATAAAATAAATGAATTATCAACTATTTCTGTTGGTCAACTAACTAATAAACTTTTTTTTGCAGTATCTGTAATACATGTAACCGGGTGGGAGGGCTGGACCATATTCTGTCATCACATTTGATTTAATAGAACTTTTTAAAACACTCTTGAGTGTAAGATTGCAAAGAATAAAAGGGTGTGACTTTGATACAAACAGACATTAAACTGGATGTTTTGAAAATGTGAAATAAATGGAAGAAAATGGAACTTGAAATATACAACCATTCAGGGACAAGGGTTGAATAGGGTCAATTGCGCCTGATTTGAAATTTGTAACGGATACAACTTTTTGAAATGTCTCTCATTCTCTCTCTCACCGGAGCGTGTGCAGTGTGCTAATGAAAAAGCAGACCTAATATGTTTCCATGAGTCCATCTGGTAATAATTGCAGCATGTAGCAACCGTAGCTGTGTTTGGATAAAGCTCTGACATCCATGGGGCCCTCTGACGCTCAAGTGTATGTTTATGTGGGGGTGAGAAAGAGAGAGAGGAGGAGAAAGGAGGGGAAAGTGTGGCGAGAGTCTGTGATACTGTGTGTGTGTGTGTGTGTGTGTGCATACATGCTCCCACTTGTGTGTTTCCCAAGCTGCTGGTTGAGGAGCCAACATAACTACATCAACTTTATCATCAGCACAGTGTTGTACGTAGACCAGAGCGTGGGTGGATGGGTAACCTCTGCTCCTTCGGGCCATTAGCATGACTCAAGGTGATGATTAGTGGCCTCTGATGGCGCACAGACTGCTATCAAACGCACAGATCTGAAGTAACAGAGTTGTCTATATTATACCGCACGCTGCCTCTGTGTACTGTGGTCAGGCAAAAAAAAAAAAAAAAAGAGGAGCTTGTCAAGACCCAGGATTTTCTTTTATCAAGACTTATCATGCTTGGAAGTAGAGTGTGGTTCAACTCAGTGCATAGCCTAGTAAAAAAAAAAAAAAGATTTAGCTTATAATTGGCGGAGAGATTGCCCTGGAACTAACTCACCATGTACACGATACTCCCAACTGTAAATGTCACTTATTGAACTGTTCTTGAGCAAGACACTGATCTCATGAAAAGTTGTCCTGGATATCTGGATTATCATCGACAAAACAAATTGGGGGGCCCAGACCCCCAAGGACCTCCTGGACCTGGAAACCTCCAGGAAGGTCTCGTATTATTAATTAGGGATTGAGGTAATTCAACAAGGATTTCATTTCAAAATGCAACATTGAGATGATGATGTTGAACAAAGACAGGTTACACCCTCCACAAGTAAAATCCACAATATACACCCTCTCTGTGTGACCCAGTTCTGCACTGGGGACCAAACCAGGTGTCAACTACATAAGGGGTTCTGGTCATGAGCTTGACACCCATTGTATAAGTTTACAATAATAATTTTAAGTGAATCACTTTGCAGAATATGTAATTGGTGAAAAAACTCATGTCACAAGATCAAACCAAAGAAGGAAAAACTAGTGTGACAAGTGACACATTCTTCTTCTAAGTTCAACGCAAACGTCTTCATCTTGTGACTTACTGGCAGCGCTCAGTCGGCGTAGGTGGAAGGGCGTGGAACGAGAGCTGTGCAGAAAGGCCCTTTGTGCTGAGAGGGTCACGCATTCTCTGTATACGGGACATTCACAGTGAGGCAGACTCGTGTGTGCGGAAACACACGCACGCACGCGAGCAGAAGGATCGCTTACTGAAAATGATGAAAGGAATGTGTCACATGAAGAGTGACCAGTGACCGAGGGCTTCCTTTGATATCACGTGATGGTACAAGCAGGGTACAACTGGGTAGTGACTCATTTTATTTACTTAAAACTTGGGACTTGAAACTTTGTCTATAATTGTATCTATCCGACTTCAACCCTTATAACTGTTTCTTTCATATATATTGGTTAGTTCTAACGTTGTCCTATAATTGTTTTCACTGTATGTGAAGCACCTTGAGAATTCACCATTATCATTGTTAAATTATTTAAAAAAACATCATTTTTTAGTGGTAGGGGGTTTTCTGAAGGTTGTTTTATATTCTTCCTAAAAGAACATACTTTTTTAGTGTTTTGTTTTCTTCCTAAAATAACTGGGAACAACAAATACAAAACTTGAGCTATGATTGTATATAATTTAATGTGAGGTACTGCAGAGCCACTAAGTAGTATTTTAACTTAAACAATTTAAGATTATAATGTATCATTTCTCTTACTACAATTTCTGGATGTTTCATAGACTCGCTCACGAGAGTATAACAGTTGTACTAAAGAAAAGGCACCACATCATTTGTATGTGGAGGTTTTCATACTGTGCATAGCCCTTTTATATTCTGCTAATAATATAAAAAAGGCTCTCAGATTTTGGAGGGAGAAAATCCATGTCCTTTGATCTCTATCCTCTTACATAATAAGGATCCGCCTGACCCCTTTCTGTGCCTGTATGGACGAATATATACGCTATTTTATATAATTTCACCTGCCAAGCCAAAGACGGATGCGTCAGAGGAGATGAACAACATCCTGTACAGACTGTCATTTCCTCTCAGGCTCTTTGAGTGTTTTGTGTGTGTGTGTTGATTCAGGAAGGCTAACCAGCCAACACAACACCCTGTTCTGACATGCTAACACGTATCTACACTGGTTTAACATTTGTTTAAATGCTTACCAAAATGGACTGTGTTCAGTTCAGGTAACCCGTCGTTGAACGTGCAATAGCGACTGATCTGGAAGGGCCAATGTGTGCCATCTGACCTGGTTGAACTGAAGGGACATTTGGTAAATGTTAATAATGCTTAACTGCATTTAACCAACAACATGACTTGTCAAAAGTAAAGTAAAGAAAAGAAACCGCGTATAAGCCGAGACATGTGGCACGCAAAAGGCTCAATAAAATATGTTTGTAGAATATGTTCCTGAAAAGATTTGAGGCGAGAGATACGCAATGCAGTCACAGAATCTTGATTTATATTTGATCAGCGCTGCCTACTTTGATGGTTTTATCTGAATTTGTTTGTCAAATTCAGATAAAACAGCGAATGGTCAGTCAACCCGCCGATCCGTATCATCAACACGCCACTGGATCTCCAGAGAAAACAAATAGGACAAGTCGTCCTCACAAACATCAACAGATTTGGTGTATCTCCACCATCAGACGATCTGCCGCGCACTTGGTTTGAAGTATACTGAGGCTGAGGGGAGTGACAGTGGATGCAACAGTTGCAAAGACTGCTGTCGGGAAACTGGCCGTACCAAATTGTAGAGTAAAAGTGGTGAAAAACACAGTACAAGGACAGATCATATCATGAATATTTAAAAATGGTTTGTCATGTTTGCCTTTCTTAACCACTCATGACATGTTGCATACTTACCTTTAAAATACATGTAACTAATTTGCCAGACGCCAGACTCGTAGTACATTTTCCACTCTGCCAAAGTTTAAAATCCCAATCGGACTGATCTCACAAAGAAGCCATCCACACTGATCTGCTCACGCACGCACGCACGCACGCACGCACGCGCGCGCTTTCAGTTAGTCTAAACTTTTACCGAACTTGAACTCCCCTAAAACGCTGTGGTGACTGCATAAGAAGTAGTTCTCAGGTTACAAACTCGCCCAAAATAGGCCATAAGTACATAGTACTGCTATCTGGTGACGTAGATTATAGTTTAGAATGGCTACACACACTTGAACATGCAATGACACACACAGATACACACGATCTGTAAAGAATTCAGCACCATGCTTTAGGGAAAGACGTGAGCATGGGTAAAAATAACAACTTAATATGCAAATAAAGTCATTTAAATCCACTAAAATCCACGCACAAACATTTTGTAAAACATAACCAATTCTTTTGTGTTTCCTAATCAGACGATAGGCTGACAGACGCACTTAAAATCACAGACCTACAGTATGTCTAACTTCTAAAGAAGAACCTTCTTAAAGCATCAAGTCATTAAATAAGCCACTGGAAGCCATGAGCATCATCCACTGATGACTCATAGCTGTATACAACTCCAATACATAAAAAGGTATCCCACAAGGACCCTTTAAACCCCTCATTTTTACATTGAGAATTATCATTATTTCGGGTCGGTACTTCTTAAAATATGGGACAAGATCCGAAATGAGCCACAGGCCCCTTTCTAGTGGGATCCCGCATGAAATAAGTAATAATATGCTTTCAGGAGCGGGAGAAGAACCTCTGCGCTTTCCTGGAATAGGAAAAAAAACAAAAAAACTTGAAGGGACGTCCTCCAAGTGCAGTAGTTTTTGGAGTAGCTAATCTGTGTACAGGAAACAGGCGCTAAGACTTTCGGCGCTAGTGGGCTGAGCAATCAAAACAATCTCTCTATCTTCTGATTGAGGAGAAAGGGACCTGAGCCAGACACTTCAACACACTCCATCAAGGGAGAGGGCGAGTTGAATAGAGAAGGAAGGAACAATCGATAGAGAGAATGATAGAGAATGAGGTAAAGATTGATAGAGAGAATCAGGGAACGAGAGTGAAAAGGACAAATATATATATATTCTTCTTTGCCAGCTCCTACTTTCTTTCTCTTTAATCTCCTGTCCTATTTTGCTTTCCATTTGTTTTTCTCCTCGTCTTTTCGAACTCCACTGCCTTTCTCTTATCTACACTCCTCTTTTCCCTCCTTTCCGTCGTGCGTCCTTGCTTTTTCTCTTCTAGCCTCCTCCATCTGTGTGTTATGAGTAGGAGTTGTGGAGAAAGTATGTGGGATTTTCCCACAGCTCGGCATGACCAGACCCAACCCCTCCCTCCCTCATGTCAAGAGGGGAGTCTTGAGGAAAACCACCCATATTCCACCACCAAGTATTCTGCATGTTTGTTGGAACGTTTTGCCCCTCGTTGCTCCGTAGACATCAACTGTGTGCTGCTACGGCAACAGAATAATTACAACGGGACAAAAATATCTCTGCCTTTGAGTTAAAACAGCGTAGCTCCTATTAAAACATTTAATTCAACAAATCTCACGAATGAAACTTCAGTTTCCACAAGAGGAGCTGATGAATCTCAGCTCAATGGTAAGCTCTATCTAGCCATCCATTTTCTGTCCCTTATTCGGGTCCAGGTCACGGCTCCAGCAGGGTAAGCAAGAACACCCAGAAGTCCTTCTTCCCAGCCATGACGTCTGACTTCTCCTGAGACATTCCCAGGCGAGGCAGGATATTGAAACCTCTTAACGTACATTGCAGATGCTGCACCGATTCACCTGTCGTTCTTTGTCTTCCCCTCACTTGTGAACGTGCTTGACTTATTGCCTAAAATACTCACTTACTCCAGTTACACAAATACCAAATGCTGTTTAGCTATGGTCCCATATTCTCACAGTACCCCCTAGAAGACACCCAGAGAACTCCATCATAAGCCTTCACACAACACAACGTTACTCCTGCTCAATGAGTGAGTTTCCACATTCTGATGCAACCACATTTCCTACATAAAAGTCTCCCAAGAAGGCACAGCACAGCCTCTGCTCCAGAGCCTTCAACATCTCAGAGCAAATTTCATCCTCTGCAGTGCTTTTTTTTATTATTTATTAGGGATCTTTCCAAGAAAGATGGCCAGGTATTCCACCCCCGAGTCCTCCGCCTCCTTCACAAAGTGCACATTCGGTCAGGTTTAGAAGTCGCTCAAAGCGTTTCTTCCACAGTATCCCAGCTCAAGGCCGGCAGCTTCTGACCTCCTGAACCGACCGTATAAAACACAAAGTTGCCAGATAGATAAACACGAAGACGATTTTTCTCTTGTAAAACTGGGTTAAGAGAAAAATCAAACACCAACTCCAAAGCTTCACACTTGTGCATGCATCAAGTGTGACATTGTGCTTTTATCAATGTACATGTCGACGCTGCGGCCTTTGTCTCTGACTGCGGAAGGCTTTTGTGTGTGTGTGTGTGTGTGTCTGTACCCGTTTGTGGTGTATAAGAGTGTGATTTACCTCTGCAGCCTGAGTCTCCTGGTGCAACAGTGTCAGCCCCGTCAGGTCCTCCAGGAAGGAGTGGGATGAATTAAAGACGTTGGACAGGAAGTTGAAACCTTCCCTCTCATAGTTGTCCAGGACCTGGACGAAATAAACAACATGAACAAAGAACAATTTCCAGTGATTGAACAGGAAATGTAATGTCTATTGGTAGGTTAATAATAAATCCATTCTGATTGAAACATTTCCACTGCAGGTAGTTATAGAACTGTACTGATTCCTTGCTGCATATTGAATATCAAATTGCTGCTCCTGTGTTTTACATTGCTACTTTTTATTTAATCAATGTGTAGACAACAGTGGACCAGCGTAAACAGCAATTTTGAAATGATGTGGAACCAACAGAGTACTTGACAAAATTGACAAAAAGGGAGAAAAATAAGTAGCTGTGTGTGTGTGTGTGTGTGTGTGTGTGTGTGTGTGTGTGTGTGTGTGCGTGTGTTACTGAGGCGCCTGCCTATAAACACAATACATTTACACAACAGCAAGTTGTAGACCTTAATGGAGGACGGTTGAATGCTGGGGAAGTAATTTCCCTGAAAGGTCTGATTCAAGTCTCAAGGGAAGAGAAGCTTAAAGCGAACATAAATTAATTTCTTCACCTTTAACTGCAGTGTCAAGTAAAACATTGCGTAATGTCCAAGACACTTCTAAAAGTGCAGTGCTTGGTGAAAGTCCCTTTTAGAGTCTGATGTGTACACATTGAGTTGAGGGCTAAGTCATGCTAATGCATCAGGACGTGTTCACTTGAATCAAAAACATTAGGAGAAATTGTCTCTCAAAAGTAGATAAAAATAATCTTTTAATGGTATGAAATAAAAGTGCGCTCTTGTCCGTATAGGCACAACCTCTGAAACACCGAAACTCAGTGTTTACCTTGATCTCCTACCAGCACTGGCTTCAAATACCCACACCTTCTTTCCAAAACACACACACACACACACACACACACACACACACACACACACACACATCCTCTGCCCTCTCGACTACCTTCCTAAGCTTGGCCAAGCCTTTCATGGACGCCCACAGACCCTCCTCTGCAGGTGTAGGGTTACCTCTGCCTCAGACGTCAACACACTGTGAGCATCAACATCTGTGCATGCGCATGAGTGCATGCGCGCGTGTGCGTGTGTGTGTTCGCAGACTGACATGGCGTCTAGTCGTGGAGCCAGACACACCACACACAATGCACACTGACGTGTCCCTCGTTCGTCTTTTCAACCTCTCCTTTCTTTCCTTCCCTCTCTTTTATTTCTTTGATTCTCCACTTCCATCCACGGGATCCGTTACATGAGACGCCAACGGCCAAAACACACTTTGTTGAAATATAGATGCCCACAACACAGAAAGCAACTTGATAACTGCGATGATCTTGTGATAAAGTTGACAAAGTCACTACGTGTAATGCACACAGACACAGAGTTACACACACACAAAACACCAATATCCTTCACTCATATCAATAGTAGACAAGATCAAGACAAAAGACTGACAGACTCCAGTCACATGGAAAAAAGTCACAAATTCAGCCAACTCAAATGAGATGGGGTTGTGAATTTTGACCATTTAATTGTACCTACATCAAATGCTTTATGTATTTAGGGATTCTCAATTTTACAAAATTCAGTGTTTGGCACTTTTACTCTCTTGTACAGCTGCAACTTGATGAAACAACAGAAATAATTTGTAGAACAATTTTCTTTCGAGAGGTTACAAAGCTTGATAGCGGACTGAAGCATCTAATATCAGACTAATTCAAACCGCGCTGTGCCAAAATCACTGTGGGGAATATGTCGTAAAAACATAAACATAATGTAAACACAGAGAACGGAAGAGACTTGAAACGTTTACTAGATTTCGTTGCCGTTAATCAGGCGCTGGCGGGTTTCAGTAGTGACAGCACAACGGAATCATCAACATCTGGATTAGATGGTGTGCTGCACATCTGTATACTAACGTGTACATGTGCACTTGTCCTAAAGCTTCCTTCCATATAGAGCCATATAAATCTCAACCCTCTGGCTGTACTTTACAGTGGTGCCAATTTCTTTTGAAGTTGTTAGTGGATCCATACTGTGCGGATACTCACTGAAAGTATCCGACACTATAGGCTAAGTGTGTGTGTGTGTGTGTGTGTGTGTGGCATCCTATCAAACATACACTGGGTGGTGCTGGTGGCTCAGAGGGGCTTTAACTAATGTTGTGAACATGAAAAACGGAGTTGACTGTTGTATTTCAAAGTACAGGTCAGTTCAAATCAATGACTGATACATAATCAATGAAATGCTTAGAGGTTCTTGGTTCGTGCTTTTGCCGTGATGTGACACTTACTGAACACGATGAGTAAACAGTTCCTGGTGATTCAACGGTTTTGACTTCCCATCGTTAACTTGTAAAGTCAACACGCCAGGTTAGACACTTGCCTTGAAAACGCACAAACTCCATACTGACTCACTGAGCAACCACTCAGGCCTCATGGTATGTCGGTACCAGCACACTTTACAGGAAGCACATCCCATAACGTGTGTGTATAGTTGGAGCTATGCGATTGCTGTACAATGCATGCGTGTCGGTGATATAAAACATGAAGTTATTTATTCTAGAATTAGTTATGACATTTCCAGAAATTGCATTTAGTGTGGAAGTGGTTGCTAGGAAGAATGTAAATATAAATAAAATATTTAGTGTAGTGATGCAAATCCTGTATATTTTAGTTTGTTTCAAGGGTTTTCATCTTTGGCATGAAGGATTTTGACATCCACAAGTCCTTAATGGGATCGGTGCTGGATACAAAATTCCACCCAAATACATTAAAAGTTGTAATCTTTATAATCTGTGACATGAGGACGATTTATTTTAAGTATAAGTATAAAACAGTTATACCACTCTAGTTATTCAGAAGGAAGAAATGCATTACCTGAGAAACCCTGAGCTACATTGTTACTTTGCACCACACATCTAAAAAAAAAAAGAAACTTCTTTTGCCATTAATAATGGTAGCATGTGGCATATTTGGTGGTGTTAGTACCAGTCGTTGTAGTAAGAGGTCTCTGGCATGGTTTAAGACCACGTCAGCTGAGATTTACTCTATAGTGTGTAGTTTTATTGGCTTGCAGCCCCAGAAAGAGTTGGGAAACACACACACTCTCACACACACACACACACACACACACACACACACACACACAAAAGCCCCAACTCTACAGGAACTGCTCCAGCCCAGACAGGGCCTGAATTGTTTTGTTTCCATAGTGACCTGGCAGCACACAGCTGACTGCGGCAGGAATACACGCACACACACACACACACACACACACACACATATATAAGACAAACACACAATCCTGTTACAGTGAATGGACAGGGAGGGAGAACAGGAAGGGAGAGAAGGTAAGACAGAGGAGAGAAAAAGAGGGGAACTGAAGTAGACTAGTAGAAATGAAGAAAATGAAAGGTAGAAGAGCAAATGCAAAAAAAAAGAAGGGGAAAATGTGTGTGGCTGGGATTAACGGAATCAAAACACAGTCACCAATTTCACTACATAACCTTTATCCCTGCCTCAGCAGAGGATCGTCTTTCCTAACTCATGTTGTTCATTGTTCCCGACTACACAGGCTTCACCTCAATCCCCATCAAACCCTATGAACCCTCCAAACAGACCAAATAATCCCATCAGTCACACAGAAACATGACACCTTAAGATCGAGTGGAACTTTATACTTATTTTCTCAAAAGCAGCGTAGGTGGAGAAAAACTCAAGCAAAGCCAACTAGCCCCCCCCCCCCCCCCCCCTCCCTCCCCCTCCCTCTTGGTTTCTCCCTGTGTCTCTCTCGCTCTGTCTTCACATGAAAGTGATGGATCTGGGGCTTTATGACCTCTTTATAGACACAAAGACTGCATTGAGATCAGGGGAGAATGAGAGAGAGAGAGAGAGAGAGAGAGAGAGAGAGAGAGAGAGAGAGAGAGAACCAGACCTCCACTCATCACAACACCCTTTCTTCAGCAGTGCACTTCCTCTCTTTATCCCCCCCCCAATCATCTTGCTCTAGCCTCTTTTTTAAAACTTGCTCCCTCTCTAACTTGTGCCCCTCTCCTGGTCTCACACTAATGTACACCAACCAATCACATAGCTGGACGCAGTGACCACAGGGCCACCTGGCGCAATGATTGGCCAGTTGACTGTGGACCAATGACAACGTGTTAAAAAGACACAAGGGCAATCTCCCCCCCCCCGCTTGGCTGATTTGGGGATATGTGGACCCTTCAAAAACCCAACTTTACACGCACGCACACACACACACACACACACACACACACACACACACACACACACAC